GCCGTGCTCATGTACTTGCCCCCCCGCCCCCTCCCCCTCCCCCTCCCCCTCCCTTCTGGTGTCAGTGTAAGACTGTTGACACAAATTTCCCATGGTGCCACCATAATTTGTATGCCAGTGTGCTCTGAACTGCTCAGCCTCATTTGTCTTCCCTATATCTAATATATGCAGTTATTCTATAGAAAGTGATGCAAATGGTGTATCGAATGGTGGTTTCCATTTCAATAGTTAATTCCGTAGTTCAGTAATATGTGAGGACATGCATATAAGGTCACTGTGTGTGATTGAACATTTCAGTTTATATGCTCCTTGCTGTACTGCTCATCTTAAGGAGCTGACATTATCTAGACTAAGACTGTGTAATCTCTGTCTGTCGGGCAATTATAATTTGAATTCTCAGAAGACAGAGATTATGCAAACTCTGAAATGGCCCTCCAGACTAAGATTCAACTAAAATCTACTATAAAAAATGCTGTAGAGGCCTCTGGGTTCTTAACTGACGTCCACTCAATCAGAGCAACGGAGGGCTAGAAGTGCTGCCAACCTAATCTCTGTGACTGGCAGTAAAATACTTACATTGCCTTAGCCCACAGGGGATTAGGGAAATTTCCCTAATGAATTTACAGTTAAAGCCTCTCACCCACTGGACCCAATTTACAGAGCCCTCTTTGAAGCACCCTGGACCCTGCTTATAAATGCATCAGTCTGGAGTGAGCATTACGCCAGTGCTCGAAGATATCTTTGCAGGACTCTTTATTTATTATTTGTTTGTTAGTTTTATAAAGACTTGAATATATATATATATATATATATATATATATATATATATTTGAAGTGGATCAAAAAAGTTCATCAAAGTTGTCCTTCATGACACTTTTTTTTTTCCAAAATCCAATAAATCCATTTAATCAATATAAAAGTTATTTTTCATATTGAAACTGTTGAAAATACACAACATATTAAGTTGATCCACATATGAAAGCCTCTGAACTTGGTCAATACTAATCTTATATACAGGCACTGGACTAAAAATACATTCAATCAGTCATCGCTCCCAAAATGAATTCAACGGGACATCTTGTTAATGCCATAAATTAATTACAACAATGAAACAAAATTTCATCATGAACATACATGAACAACAATATCACATTAAACCACAGAAATTCCAAAATGACATTTCCCTTACATTCAACGTCCAAAATTTACACTGTCAAGCCAAGCAATATCGCATTCATAATCGAGTGGGACTCATCTACGATTATGACCGTGATATTGCAGTGATCTACGGCTCTGTGTATTAAATGCCGCTCCATCTGAAAGCACGTAATTGAGATTTACTATTAATCACAGAACCGGCTTTACTGACGAGATGCGCATGACAATCACATGCTATTTATCGTGCAGCCCTAAGTTTGTTTGTTGATCACAAAGTACAATATAGATGAGGAAAACTAGGGTGTATTCAAAGCACCGCCATTACTGTATACAGTGCGTGGAATGGTGCGCTGTGATTGTTTGAGAGGATATATCGCATTCTGCAGAGATGGGAGACTGGCGTTTGTCGTGGTTTGGAAAGAAAGGGAGAAAACATGACAGTATAACTCGGCGGATATCGCATTTTGCATAAAATTAAAAATTGACTTTTCAATACCGACCAGATACAATACGGATTTTGGCGGAAACTATTTAAAAAAAAAAAAAAAATCATATCTTCATATCTTCTTCATCCTAGCGTATTTTCTGCGTTGGCGCAGGGTCCGCTTGTTTGCACGCCTTTTGCCACTTAGCTTGGTCCAGGGCATCATCAGGGGGGACATTGACTGAGTGCATGTCCTCCTCCAGGCGATCGAGCCACCGCTTCTTTGTCCGACCACGCGGTCGTTGTCCAGGTGGGTATAGGTGGTATGCTGTTTTCACCACTGTATCATCACTGCTTCTGATGATGTGGCCATACCAGCGGAGTCGGGCTTCACGCATCTTGTCGACTATGGGCATTCCTGACACGGTCGAATCGTGTGAGGCCGAGAGATCAACGGAGCATCTTCATCTCCATACCGTGGATGATCTGCTCATGCTTAGTGGTGGCTGGCCAACACTCAGAACCATTTAGTGCAACTGGGTGTATGACGATTTTGTAGATCTTGCCCTTGAGTTGTGTGGCCAGTCACAGAGAACACCTGTAACTTGTCGCCATTTGAGCCACGCCACGTTGACCTGTACACGGGCATCGGGGAGGGAGTCGCCGTCGCTCCTCATGAGCGAACCTAGATATTTAAATTTGGTAACCTTGTTCAGTGGCTGCCCTGTAACTCTAATTGTCCCGTCAATCTGGGGCCCGCACACCATGTACTCTATATACTATATACTGTATATATAGTATGTATACTGCAT